AAACGATGACGTATTGAGGAGCATATTTAATAACAAAATAAACTCTGTTGTCTGGAGCGGCCTTTTCCACTTACAAGTGTACCGATAGTTATAAGCGAGTTCATTTCATCATATTGACGCCCTGCTTCAATGTGTTTAAATGTGGAGCACTCCCTTGACTCGAGCGCGGCGCCACGTCACAGCTACCCTGCCGTGACATTAACTGACACTGGCCCCGTAATGGTCGCCACTCAGTACAGATGATCTGCCCCGGCCCTGCGGCACTAGATTGCCTGGGTGTGTCAGGTTCTCATGAGGCCCCAGGTTATCATCAGGCACAGGTTCACCAATCAGGTACATGTTGCACCAGTGTGCGAACACTTTCTTCACCGCCACCACATGGTCTCCGATCGCCACGGAATCCCAAGTCACTTGGAGATATCATCAAACCAGCAGATTCCAGGTCACCAGGATGTACCAGGTCATCAGAAGGTTCAGGTCACCAGGAGGACCCGGTGTACCATGCGGTCTCCGTCACCAGGCAAGCCATGCCATCATTAGATCCCAGGTCACCCGAAGGTTGAACATTGGGTCCCAGGCCACCAGACATGCCATGCCATCATTAGATCCCAGGTCACCCGAAGGTTGAACATCGGGTCCAAGGCCACCAGACATGCCATGCCGCCATGAGGTCCCAGGTCACCCCACGTGCTGGGTGGTCCGCATGACCTTGTGTCACGCCCACCTTGAGCTCCTGCTGGAGACGGGCGGCGTTGGGCGGGGTGGCCGGCGAGTGCGGCAGCCCGGGGTCGTCATCCGAATCATCTCCGCGTCTCTTCAGCAGAACTCCCCTCAGCTCCGCCTGCAGCAGAGACGTGGCAGCGTAAGTTGCCGCGTGGATCAAGCGCCTGGCGTTCGGCAGACGTCCGGGCTCGATTCTCCTCGCGGGAACTTTTGCAGCACTCCGGCCTCAAAAAGTAGGGCGATGCTAATACCCTGAGTATTTGCGCACCGCACGAAATAACTCAGCGATGAGCGCTGCTCAAGAGGGGAACGGCTGATTCGCTCGAGCCTGACCGCTCGCCGAGGACACACGGGGCGGGCGCTGATGCGTGGGAGGGGACGAGCGGAAGATGGCGCCACCGACGCGACGGGGGAATCTGGGCCAGCAGGAGCGCGGCGCCGATCGACCGAGACTGTGGCGAGTACAAACGCCGGGCTCGTCCGCACAATGCGTTCCGTTGTGTTCGCAAAACGCGTCCAAGGCTTCGGGTTGCTGTGAAAAGTACGGCATTTGACTCGCTGGACCATAAAATAAATTCAGGGTGGAGAAAAGGTCCAGGAGGCTTCTACAAAGCAAACGTTGACCCTTGGCTTGCCGAGCAAAAGACGAGACTGACGTCGACAGGTTGGCCTACTGTATATTTTGATGAAAAGAAATGTAAGAATGGCTTCGACATGACAGACGACGTTTCATTCTTCATGACATCGGTTGCATAGGGAAAGGACCGACGCTTTGATGCCTGGGGGGGAGGGGAGGGGGAGACAGTCCACCTAGTGCTTTAACGAGCGGAGTAGTCAGAATAATCAGCTTCCAATTGTAACAAATTTACCGAGGCTGACCACGGAACATGAGACATTGTTATGACGCCCTCTGCAAGGCGATTGCACGCCTTGATCTTATGTTGACATTCCGCAGGTCTGCCCCCTGCCCTATGCATGACGTGGCCGAATAAGGCCCTGGGCGCATGGTCGCTTCTCATTTGCCCCATCCGAGGTACAGCCCGCCTGACATGATCCATTCCGATAAACGTAACCGTAACACGCGGCTCCTCCTGAATGGCTACTCCCATGCTACGGCCTGGTGATGAATTGAGGCATGTATTCTGGGCGAAGACGGAAAGCCCTGTAGTTCCACATCTAGGAACATCATAAATTCTGTTCGCCCTTAACAGGCAAGGCAGCTCCAGCCACTAACTCCCACACACCGTCGAAAACTCGGATGTCAAGGTACTGAAGAGTGGATGGGGAGGCGCAAGGCGGGGACGGAGGCGGCCTGGAGCGGCACCCAGAGAAGAGGCGGCAACTCGTCGTTTCGATTTGAGGAATGTAACCAGGGAGTGCTTTCGCGCTGAATCCACCAGCACAGATTGCATCTGATAGTGAAGCAGAAGGGCGGCTCCCGCGTCACGGCAGCGGCGCTGAACACGGCGCCACCGCACGCCACGAACGTCACCCTTCCAGCCGGGGAGGGATCAGCTGCACGGGAGACCGGCACTACAACATGCAGCAGGGCGTAACGGCGCCCGTGCAAGCGGTAGTGGGTTACGTCTCAGCAAGCCGGGACCAAACCGTTGGTGTGGAAAAAATGCTAACGTGCCTTTTCAGGGGGTGAATGAAGTTTTTATAAAACGCTCAGAACAGTCCTCGTTACACCCCCGGTCTCCATCCCTGTATCATTACCCTTCCCTGTTGGGAGCCGAAGAAAGTCCGAGTCAACTGCCGTCCGCTGGGAGCCTTAACTGCTTTGTCTTCCGCTGGGAGCCGTACTGAGTACATTGTGCTGCACGAGAGGGCTCTTCTGACCCCCTTGCAGACATGATTCCCCTACATATTGACGCTGAAAGGCGGGGTGCAGGCGCTCCACTTCTGTTCAGATCCAGGCCAGTTCTGCGACAGGACGTCGCCGCACGAGCTGGGCGTGCGCGTGCGAGACGGGTTACGACCCGTTTACGCCAACAAAGGGGAAGCAAAGAACGGAGCCTTAATGTCCATTTATATACATGTAGGGCGTGCAATTATACACGTCGGCGACGACTCGTGACGTCACAAGAGTGTTGCTCCACAGCGACACCGACCAAGAGGGCCGACAAAAACGAATCATGAATGCGGCACGACAGCACAACGTTGAAAGCTCTGATTTTGGAAGCGCTGTGAATCAATCTGCATCACATGTAAACTGTTCGGACTGAACAGCCACTTATAAGCTCGGACTGTGACAGTTACGACCGCATTTATGATTGCCTTGATAGCAAGGCGTGCCTACAGCATAATTGCTTAACATACTCCCCTTATTGTTTCTACAGGCCAAAAACATCAAGCGTACCCCGCTGCATAGCACCGCAGGTCATTGACAAGGCACCAGCTGGAAACAATCCCTTCTGCATGCGAGGTACGCGGCAGCCATGGCTAATTGACTGCCAGACAGCATTCATATTGGGTTGTTCACCTTAGAGTCCATTCAGACTCCTTTGCCGTGTCGTGACGGCTTTGTCAGACTGCTTTGTCTGTCCAGTAGCCAACAGGTGGGATGACAGAGTCTCATGAAGATGGCCATTATTCCGCCGAATCCAAGTCAAACAAAGCCATGGCAAACGATTTTGCTTCCAATGTCAGAAAAGTAATTTGTCAGGCTCATGGAACACATAGCAATATTCTATCAAGACTGGATCTCGTTAACATCGGTAAAGCAATGCGTAGATTTTCGGCCCTCATTTCATTCGGTACTACCAATGACAGCACATCACACGAATGCTCTATGCCGCAAAATCTGTGGCCCAATCGCATGTTCTCTCTGTTCTGACAACGGCTGATGCTTGTCATCCTGGGTTTCACATGCCCGAATTTCTCACTGAAAGGATGCAATCGAGCTTAAGATTAAATTTCAATGGAAACTAGTCATACGTCGCTTCATATCCTCCACACAGTGCCGCGCTACCAACAGCCAAATGTCCCCACCGGTCAAAGCCCACACGCGGGGGTTCTGTCTGCGGCTTCAGCCTCGGTGACACACCACAGGTTGACCTGTCAGGAGCGCGACTCCTTCCCTCGCCATAGCGTACCTGCAGCACCTGGATGCGCAGACTAGGCTTCCTGCTGACAGTCACGTTCGGGTTGCACGCGTAGAACATGCGCTCGTTGTTGTAGCTGCGCACCACAGTCATCTCGCCGCTGCTATTGACCCACAGCATGGTCATGACTCCGGCGACGCGACCGGGTCACCAGAGGTCACCGCCGCCCCCGCGCACTCCTCCGCCCACCGGCGCGACTGTCGAGTGCCGGCGGGTCGCGCCGGCCGCCGGCCGCCGCCTCCAGACGGGTGACGTCACCCGCCCGCGACTAGTGACGTCACCGGCGGCCTAGCCGCCCCCGCCGCGCGGCTGACCGCGGAGGCGAGGCCGCGGAAGGTCTGCGGAGACAGTGCCGTCGCTGAGCGATCTGCCGCGGCGAGGGGCCAGCGGGCGAGCACGCTGGGTGGCCGGGGAAGGGGCGCGATTGTGCCGCCCGGTGGCAGTCTTGCGACACGCAAGGCGGCGCGCTCGGACGGCATTTCGTAGCGTCTTTACGGCGTGACCTGCAGGGTCATGCGAGCGCTGGGAGGAGAAAGGTGTGTCATGACTTCAGCTCGGGTCGGCCGATTTTCAGAGAAATGGAGTGGAGTGGGTACCAAAATGGGAAGACGGAGTGGTGGCTGCGTTGTGATGACATGATGGAGGAGATGGTAACCCCTCACTGAGCTAGTGATGGTTGAATGCAGCATTCATTTCTTGGGAAATGTCAGAGCTTGACGAAACGACCTGAGAAGATCCAAATCAGAGATGACGTCACGACACGCCGAGCTCCTCCGCAAAGGGCGCATCACCTTGCGGCTACCACCCATCAGGTTGACGTCACTTACATGACGTCACCTGCGAAAAATTAAAGACGTAATCGCGGACTTAATGTTCGCCTGCTGTGATGTGTGAACCAGGATGTCGTACAATCAGGACGCGGCTTCTTGTCATATCATCTTGCAAAACTTACAGGCATGCAGGCTCAATGTAATGTGGACTATCTTTTGCACGCACAAGGCACCATTAGCTGCAGTATCTCTGCATATGTGCTTTCTCGGAAAGCAAAGATCATGTCACGTAGCGTTGTTGGTCGGATTTCAAGGTTGCATTTCAGCTCATTCCAGTGCTTCCATGACCCCTTTGAGTAGGTCGATTCCATTATCAAAATTTCGCGCTAGCCAAGAAGAAAAGAAGTTATTGTTTCCTTCGAATGGCCCAGAGGCCTAGTACAGCCATTTCCGGTTCAGAACAAACCTCTCCTAAACCAGGGGCCACTCCGGAGACTGCACCGCACCACAAGGCGCTAGCCCGAGACTGCAACTAGCCGGCCAACCACGGAATGCGGAAAGGCTAACAATACATTTCGGCCAGTATTATGGCAGCACAAGTCAGTCAGGTTCAGTCGGCTTCAAATCACCGCTCCATATTTTGGGCCGCTTTTATCCGTTTTTGATCATTTCTGCTCCACCCTTTCCGCCGCGGGTGGCTTTGGCCCTCTCTAGTTCGCTCTGGACGTCTTCCGCCGGCCCCAGACTTCATCGGCCCACCAAACTCCAGTGTGGACAATTTAGACCCGCTGCAGTCCACTTTGGACTGGCTCGACTCGCTCCAGCATACCTCACTGCGCTCAGGAGGGCTTCGGTCCGCTCCACTCCGCTCAGGAGGGCTCGGTCCGCTCCACTCCGCTCAGGAGGGCTTCGGACTACTCCACTCCGCTCAGGAGGGCTTCAAACCCCTCCACTCCCCGAAGGAGGGCTTCGGTCCGCTCCACTCCGCTAAGGAGGGCTTCGGACCACTCCACTCCGCTCAGGAGGGCTTCGGTCCGCTCCACTCCGCTCAGGAGGGCTTCGAACCGCTCCACTCCGTTCGTGACCGCGTCTTGAAACCACTGAGGCAACGCTCGGGCGGCGACAGTCGCAACAGTCGCTCACCGTCACGGTCGCCGCCCCCGCCCGACAGTGAGCCTGAGGTGAACTGGTGCACAGACCGCGGAATGACTGTCGGAAAACAAATATGCGTGGGTGAAACT